TGGTTCACACAAAAGGAGCCCCAACCAAGTACTAAAAACACACACTGTATGTGTAAGTGCAAGGAAATACTTTTCAATATGGCTGACTGAGAAATTTTTAATACCATTTATGTAAAAGTAAGATTTTCTGACAAACTGAATTGTGGGTTTTTGTTGTCATTTATAATAAAAAATAATAATTTAAAAAACTAAAATATCACTCTGTGAGTCATGAATCCATATTATACTCATGTTTCATTTTTGTTTGAATAACTGAAACAAATCTTTACATTAATATTTTTGATTTAAGGGGATTATTGACTAAACGAAGGAAACCTGAATTTTTATAGTTTGATCACATGGGGGCAGTGTTGTGCCAACATGACTTCTGGTCGGACTGAAGTCACTGAATTTATTGTTTTGGGCAAAAGTCAAAAACATTTTGACATCTGCCGGTTTTTATCAAACTGCCCTTTTTTTTTACATTTGTTATGATACATTTCTGGAAAAATGTCACAAGGAAACTTTTTTTTTTGTCATTTTTCCAAAAAGCAGTTTGCTCAAATGTGTTTTTCTTTTCAAACATGACAAATTTCTTCCTTTGTATTGTATTTTAAAATGGTTTCTACAAATAAAAATGGATTGAGAGAACTAGAGGGCATTAGTGATCCGATTATTTGTCTTTATGTAAATAAAAGTGCTGATTAAAGGATTTTATTTTCATTGTGTTCAACAGATATTATGTAATGAGACAAATGTCCAAATGAATGAGTCCATGTCCAGAGATCAGGCCTTTTAGCAAACAGTGTAAAGAAAAGGAATTTGCAGACTTTCATCACTCTTAAATCCTTAAAATCATAAAACAAATGTTAATACCAGACAAAGACACCTAGATGACTGGTCCAGTGTGAACCCAGTTTCTTTTTAAATCAGGAATTAAGTCTGATTAATCACATTTATTTGGTTCAGCTTCACCAGCCACACCCAGGCTGGATCAATGCGAAACCTGCACTTGGATAAATGAGTCCTTACAAGATCTCAATAAGCAACACTTCCTGTCAAGATCTCAAGAAATTCAAGAAAAGATGGGGAACAAAGTCACTGATATCTCTCAGAGTGGAGCGGGTAAAGCATATTTTTAAGGCTACTGTGACTGCAGTGAGCAAAAGTGAGAGCCATTATCCCCAAATGGAGAAAACATGGGACTGTGGTGAGCCTTCACTGAAGAGGCAGACCTAACATTTCTCCAACACCTCATCTAGGAGATCACAAAAAACAAGAGAAAAAACAATTGTGTGACTGAGAGGTAAAGTCGGGTGAAATCTACTGAAGAGGAGTAAAAAAAAAAAAGCCTGTCGATGGATATGTATAATGTGTTATCTGTACAGTACAAATTTAGAAATGAAGGTTTGTAAATGAATCATTCAGACTTCTTGATGGTCTCCATTTCGTCATTGTTTTGGTTCCTGTTTATTGACGTGTCAAACTTGAGACTTCCTGTTTGCCTGTAAGCACACATTTGACAGTGTGAAAAGTCAAGGCCGGCTGTGATCAGACAAAAAATATAACTCATTTCCACATGTATAGAGTATGCACAACCCTATTGTAGAGAATGTCGTAGGAAACTATGCATGTTGCTTTGTTCATATAGACTTCTTACTTCCCAGCTGTTAGAGGGTATCAGACCTTTCTGAAGAGCAGAAACGTTAACCAGCTTTGCAGAAAAACATTAATATATTTGCACTAGAAGTTGGGATCTTTGAAATCTTCAAACTAAAAAAAAAAAAAGATACATTAAGGCTGCATTTTAAAATGGCCAAGTGTCAAATGAACTTGCAGCTGTGGTCTGGTCAGGTCTGGTTTGGTCAAGCATGTCTAAGATCGAGAAAAGTATTCAACCAGAAATGTAGCTGAAACCGAAACAAGAACAAGACTTTGGAAATGTGGTCTGAAGAACCACACATCTACATTTTTAACCTTTCAGAAGTTGACTGATTCACTTGCCTGCTTGTAGCCTTCTTGTACTTCAGCTGTCTTTAGTAGTATTCAAAAGTAATGTTATTAATTGTTCACAAGGTAAATAGTGGTGAATGGTCTGTGACAGGTTACTAGGGACAGGAGTAGCCACATCTGCCCTGTGGGAGTTTGATAGAAGCCAGGTCGTCACGCACCAGTACCTCTGACCAGCAGGCAAGGTGGGTGAATTGTCTTACCCAAGGACACAACAATGGAGACAGACAGAGTGGACGTGCAAACCTGCAACTCACTGCAGTTACAGGAATAGCTCCTACCACCATGATAACATGATAAGTTGTGATTGTCAAAGATTGAAGGTCAATAAGCACCAATAGCACAAAATATTAGTTGTTCAAACATGTTAGACTTTACAAAAAAGTATTTCAAGAGCTTCAGAGTATAAACTAAAATAGAGAAATCAGGAACACATGCTGGTGGCTAATTTTCCACTGATTAGTTTACTGCTGCGGTCATGAATGACACATCCAAATTTAATTTCCAAGTTAGAAAGGAGTCGAATTTGTCAATGCTAAAGCTGAGTATATATCATCTTAAGTCGTATTCAAATCCATTTCAAAATGTACAGCTTCATTGCAGGGTTCAATAATTCGCATCTCACGAATCATGCTTTCACACTGTACGACCTGATGCTCGAAAGCGACCCGACTGCCCACATGTGTCGGATACGTACCCAACACGTTGGACTCTTGACTCGGGAACTGCACAAAAGAAGAAGAAAACTACAAAACAAAGGAGACGAATGAAAGGAATGTTCAAAGGCACTTCCTTGGGAATCATTGCTATTCTGTAAGTGTAAAAAAAAAAAAAAAAAGTTCCTTTCACGTTTTGTTTTCGTGTTGGCGCATGTGCCATGTGAGAGATTCAGGTGCATTCAGCTCTGCTTCAATAATTCCCTCACGAGAGTCGACCCTCACGCAATTTACTTTTAAATACTAAAATTTATAATATTCCCTATTTGATTACATATTGAATATCTTATAAAACCACACCCTTGAATCGGTCATGCAGTTACCAATGGGTGTGAACTTTGTTTCCTTTTTTTATGACACAGCAAACTAAAAAAAAAACGAAAAAAAAGTGCAAGTTCTGCTTTAAGATAGTTTTAAATAGTGATCAATAAGCTCGGCATTTATTAAAGGATGTGCTTGATACATTTTACATGTAATTTTTTACATATAAAATTTTTTTACATGGTTAAAAAAACGTGTACAACTAATGTGTTAGAATATGTAAGAAAAAAAGAACAAGGTACGTTATTTGGGTGTACAATGGATGAGTCACCAGCAGAGGGCGGTGCACCATCACTATTTTGCCCTCGCCTTTTTTTTTTCGTCACACAGACATGAACCTGAGAGGAAAACAACAACGTTGGCAACTGCTTGGGGGGTTGGAATGAAAATCTGACTGGATTCTTAGCCAACAAACGTGACTAATCATTTAACTTGTTCAGTCTTTAGCAGATCAATAGATTTTTAAAGAGATCATTCCAGAGATTGGCTTACACAAAGGTAATACAGGATTAACAGAACTGTTTACTGATATGCTAGTCAAACGTTAACAGGATTAGCCCGGAAATTCCTTTAATCACGTTGTGTTTTATCAGATATGCACTTACATTGATTGTTTAAGCATAAATGAATAATAGTTTGTGGCTCTGCTACTTTTATTCCTTAAAAAAAATAGAAATTAGCACAAAACTACGGAGGTCTGAAAGGGCCAGAATTTTATTTAAAAAAAAAAAAAAATAAAAAATAAAATAAAATAAAAATAATAATAATAATAAATCCGTCAATGTTTATTCAAAAGTCCCTGAATTAAAAACATATTAACATCATAGGCCAAATATTCAAGATATGCATGGTTAATAGTCATATTATTAAATATATTCATTATTTAAAATGTTTTTTTAATTTAATACTCCATTATTCCACAGTGGCATGCGACAACACATCACAAATGAATCTATTAGTGAGTTTTACGTGTCAGTCAGTGGGCAGGGCTACTGATCTCAAATTATGGTACAACGGCTGCTTTTAGATGTACTGAGAAGTGGCTGTAGTAATTATTTGCAAGGTAAATATGAACAAAATAACTGTGATGAAATGGTTGGCTGGTGACCAGGAACAGTAATTTCTGAGGTCAGATATTTGTTTCTGGTAATGACATCCAAACACTGGTACAGGTTCGAAAACCAGTGGGATCTGCTGACTTTATTAGCTAACAAATCATCCAAAGTACTAATAAACTAGCTTTTCCTGGAACTATGTCTAACTTTTAAAAGAAGAGCAGCCATATAAAATTTTGATGTTTAAGTTCTTTGACATTAAACTGTTAGGTTTTAACATCTGTCTCCACCATGGGAGACATTGCAGTAGAAGAAAAATGTGTCTTAAATGAATCAATAATATTATCACAAAAAAACAATTTTGACATATCATATTAATTTTTTTAATGCGATGCAGCTCTAATAAGTTGTAAAATAATTTAATTGAATTCATATGACTTTGGGATGTGCTTGATACATTTTACATGTAATTATTTATAACCAAATAAAGTTAACTATCGCCAAAAAAACAATTACGAATACATTTATTTATTTCAAACTGCATTCTATTGATTAAATATAAAAAATTTTATTTAATTACATATTTATTTAACATTCACAAATATATATATTTAATTTAGAAAATGTTGGTACTTTAGGCTTTCCATACATAATCACCTTTCCACAATTTCCCACTCAATAGTCTATCTTTTTAGACCAAGCTTGAACTAAGAGTTTTGATATGAGACATGCCCGGATTTGAAATCAAGGATCAAGGAGAGTGTGAGTGTGTGTGTAATGGGGAGGGAAGGGGTTGTTGCATTTATCAAGGGCCACTATAGGCCACAGCTTGCAGCCGTCTTGGGCCCTCCACCAAAATGTAGCACGACGTCACCGCTTCCGCCCTGCTCCCCTCTCCACCCCCAGCCTCCCTCTCTCTCCTCCCCCCGGCGTCGTTGGAGCAGCTCAGCCGCCTGCAATCCAACATGGAGTAGTGAGAGATGGGGCTCTAGCGGGGCCACCCCTCGGCAACAGCAGCGAAGACGCGCTTCTTTTTTTTACGCACAACTGGAAGCGGAGTCGTCGGTGAAAACATGCGCCTTAGGACTTAAAAAACGGAGCGTGTGTGAGAGGGAGTGAGCGAGCGAGTTTGCGCGCGCGCGTGCGCGTGTGTGTCTGTGTGTGTGTGTGTTTGGGGAAGGTGGGGGGGTTAGAGAGAATCAAGAGCTGGATTCGGCAACCGAAATTGCCAGTGCAGCCTGCGTTTATCCACTGATTGGGTATTAAAGTTCCAGACGGAGAAGAGGAGGTCCTTTATTTTTTTCTTCTTCTTCTTCTTCTTCTTCTTCTTCTTTTGCGATCCAGAAGAAAACAGTGTGGCTTCAGTGGAGGAAAGAAGGAGAGGGAGAATTTCAGGAAAAAAGGGACTGTCGAGGGCAAAGCCTGAGAGCCGACACTCGCACAAAGGCGCAAGGGGGATTTATGCGGAATTGGACACAGGATCGGAGGTGAAAGAATGACGAGTGAAAAGTATGCAACCGCCGTGGTACATTACCTGAGGTGAAACGAAAAAATGATAGAGGAAACACACCCAAACGAGTAAGTAATGCAGCTTGAAGATTTTCTCTTTCCCCGTGCTTATAAGTTGTTTGGAGCAACTTGGTGGAATGTGCAAAACTCTCCTTGCAAAGCTATACTTCCCTTTTAATCGTAGCCGTTTTGTGTCTTTACTGGTCCAGATGCATCGGCTGTGTGTGCGTTTGTATTTTTATTATTTTTTGTTGTTTTATTTTTATTTTTTACGGTGGCCCCCCATATTATTATGTTCAAGAAAACAGCCTAAAGAAGGCGAGAGAGAGAGATAGAGAGAGAGAGAAAGAAGAGTGGGAGGAGGAGGAGGGGAATAAGCGTGGGTGGATCGGAAACATTTTCTGAAAGGATCTCAAGCGAGAGAGCAGCGAGTGAGGCCCTGTTGCAACGTAACTTAGGAACTCAAACACGCCTAACGAGCTGCGCCTTTAAATATATATAGAAATACAGCTACAGCAGCGCGCGTGGGGGGCACGGTTTGTTACGGTATAACGACGGGCGGCCGCATTTCTCTTTATGCCCCTTCTCTCTGCTGTTTGGTCACATCTGTGTGTTTGCTTTCAACCGAAGGGGGAAGTCTCACCGGATAAGAGATATCCGATATGCCCCATCCGCCATCTCTTTCTCAATCGCCCTCATTTGCATAGCCTACCGCGCTCCATTCATAAAAAAAATAGTAGGCTATATGGGATTGTAAACAACGGCTGGCTTTCAGAGGCGAGAGAGAGAGAGAAAGAAAAAAAATCCAGCGTCGGATTCGGGTTAATTCGAGTCCTCGCGGCTCGTTTCTGTTCGCCACGCGGGCTCGTTCGCCTTCTGCGAAATGTAGCTCCGTGTGTAGGCCCACAGACCTGTTTACACGACACCAGTGGGTCTGAGTTAAAGCCGAATGCTTACCCCTACCGAGCTGTTTTCATATTAGGCGACACATAAACTATACTAGACGAGTTTTTATTATTATTATTATTATTATTAATATTTTTCTCCCTCTCGTCTGAGCTAGGCTGCTAGGTGGTAATGCCTGCCTGTGCTGATTTGTTGGCGGGGGTTGGAAGGGCGAAGGGCACCGGATGGGGGGGATGTTTGCGCTGCGGTAGCGTGACGGCGGCTCATTCATAAAAGCCCTCTAACCTTCAGCGAGTCCCCATTCATGCCTGTTGGCCGTGCTGTAGTCAGCACAAGCCCCGCGTCTGAGTGTCTGTTCCTCGGTCTCCGATCCCACAGGGAGACCCGAGTACGTAACCTGGCACCGGTCGGCAGAATAAAAACGAATTTGAGAAGATATTGAATAGTAGAAAAATACAGTTAAAATACAATATATAGATAAAATTTCAAGTTTCTACTAATACTCAAAGTTTACCAAATTTGGAAGTAGAAAATTACTGACCTGTCTAATTGCTTTCACACAGGAAAGTATTTTATAGAATAATGATCAGGTAAAATTATTTCAGGGACAAGAGTAGTTCAAAGCAAAGCACTATCAAGTCTGTTTTGAAACAAAGCCTGGGTTGGTGTGATATTTTTTATGCTAAGATAACCTCTTGCGAAAATAAAATTGTATTTACTATTGCTAATGTCACAAATTGAGCAGAGTTTCAATATCACACAATGTATACGACATGCATATCGTGAAGAAAAGCTTGGACTGGAGTCAGTGTTAGCTAATCACTTAAGCACCATACATTCAGGCTCCCTATGGCCCTTGTAGTTTAATACATCATAAAATGTTTTAGAATGCAAAGAGCTAGGTAGGTCTTTGTGAAAACAGCAGGTGTTAGTCAGAATTGATTTCTTCAATAAAGCCATGTTGTTGAGATGGATAGACTAGTTATTAACTGAGGTCATTTGCAAAGTAGAATTACTTTTAAAAAATTATTTATCCATTGCAAGTAATATCTGAATTGCATCATTCACATATTGTGTGTTTTTGTCATCTTATGTTGTATTTTTTAATTACGTACAGCTTGGAATGGTCAAAATTCTTCCAACTTATATACAACTTTACTTTGAATTGTGAATTAGTTTACACACACTGTCTGTGTTTTTCATGATCGGATGTATTTCCAAAGAGCCAAACTCATATTTCTTGTTTGTGAAAGGATAGCATAGTAGCCTTCTCTCAGTCTGCTGACCAGCAGTGTGCAGCAACAGGTGGGAGATGAACACTGTGAAACTTTGTGCTCTGCAGCCAGAAAAAAATATGGTAATTCTGGCACTGTATCTGGAGTCTCATTGGAAAGGACTTTAGCCTTCAGATAGAAAATATGATAGAAAATGTATATGGTATTGGAACTTGGTGCACCTTGATATAGGCATGTCTACTGGGAAGGATGTAGTTCTTATACAACAGGAGTAAGACAGACAAATCACCCCGTCTCCTCAATGTATTTAGTTCTATTTATTTAGTAAATATTATGAACTTTTATCCAACTGTAACTAGCTTGGCAACATGAAATGGTGCAGACAAACATGCTAGCAAGCTAAGCTTTATGGGGTTAGGGTTCATAGGGAACCCTAACTATGGTTGTCAGGAAAAGTAGGTTCTAATGTTACCTTAGTACATATTTTAAAAATCTGTTATGGTTTTGATAACATTTATTTTCCTGAACGCTAATGCTAAAGAAAAAGATGCTAGTGTGCTGAGCTTCATTAACCTTATTGTAGGGGTTGCTAATTATTTTTATTCATGGTTGTTGAGAAAAAAATTAATTCCCACCTTAATGGGAGATATTTTGAAGGTTTTTTAATTGTTTCAGTAGGATTTTATGCTATAGCTAGTTTAATAACAGTGCGAATGCTAAATTGTTAGCAAACTTCTTAATCCTGAAGCATTCGTCTTATCTGTGGCTGTCAAGGAAAATGTTTACATCCGACCACCATAGAATTTATTTGAAAATTGTATTCAGGTATTAACATTTAAAGCCTTAATCTCAAATCAGTTCTTGTTTCTGCTTCTTTTTCACGCTGAGCCCACATTAGCGAAGAATTAATCTAAATTCATAACTTAAAACCATTTTTGTCTAAACAAAATTGAGAAGTTGGTTGGAATTCAGTTAATTTGACCATTTTTATTCAGAGGGGTTTATATGTATCACCATCTGATGTTTGCAAATTGTTGCATCAGTTTTATTGATTCAGTTCTAGCAGTTTTTCTCAGCGTACCCGTCTCACTGGGTTGCACAGTCCCACGTCCGATTCTGTCCCCACCCAAGTCCTACAGCGTGACAGAGGCCATACATTTGTCACAACATATTACAACAACAAAAGAAAAATCTCTCCCTGAAGCTTTTGGATCATTTCCTGTTGCAGACGATACTTTTATGGCCGTGGTGTAAGTCGTGTTTCTGATAAAGTTTGCTTTTGTCATGGATCTGCAAAACCAAACCACACCCTGGAAACTTTCAAAGAACCCGGCTGGGTGACTTTGTATGGCAACACCAGTGCTGCTTTTGCACTTGTATCCTCATGTCTCTCATAATTGTAAAACGTATTTTAAGACATTTCTGTCGGAACCATTTAGCTGCAGTTAGCAAATGTTGTTTACTGCATTTAAGCTTCTGGAAATGTTTACCCACAACAGATCCATACAGAAAAAGGTTTGAATAGTTGATACAATTCTTCTGGATTTAAATGTCATTGGTCACCAAGAGTGACAGCAGTGGAAGCAAGAGTTTCATAGCAATCACGTGGGCATTTATCATATCGTTTATCATTTATTGTGATAAATTTCTTATCATGATAAGAATTCCAATTTATTGTTGCTGTGATAAATTTCAATTAATGATGTTTAAAAGCTGTCGGAATTATCAGGATTGATAGTTTTACTCTTTTCTCCACTATTTGTTCCATGAAAGTACCAATAAATATTGTTTAATTTGAAAATATGATCAAATCCAGTTACTGTGTGGAGTTTAGTGACACAAATCACACTTCTTTATGTGACCAGCGTTCTAAAGAAGCGCATTACAAATGAATATGTTTATCAAGACCGTTATTTGATTTTGTGGGGCCATGGCTGGCATGTCATGTTGTCACAGTCTGACAATAATAACTAGTTCTTATTGTCACTTTCATTGTTTATCACAATATTACCACAAAATATTGTACTAAAACAATATTTAAGTCCATATTGCCCACCCCTACAATCACGGGGGGCATTTTGTACCAGATTTGAGAGTTGATGGGAGTTTTCCTTTGCCAAATAGATGATCAGTGTGAGGATTTACAGCAGAGTTGGTGACTCAATGCAATAAACCGTCTGGAGTCACCACAAGGTCATTAAGGAGGAGGGATTGCTGCAAAGTTTGGGACTCGAAGCAGTCATCTAAGTTTCCTTTGACTGAAAAGGTTTTAGCAACTGGCATGATAAACTAAACTTGTTTTAGAACCAGAATCAGATTAGAATATAATTGACTTAACCAGCTAGTTTGTTTGACATGACCCGGTTATGATTAATGCAGAAGCTTTAAACGCCGTACTACGGTGTAACTTTTGGTCAAGTGTTTGGGTAAACGTCGTCAAAGCATCTCATGTCCGGTGGCGTTGAGCCTGAGTTTGGGTTTACCTATAATTTGAAGAACTGGTAAGGACCAGCTAATGTTTTTTATTTAAAGGTCATACTGACTTTTTTTTTCAAATGACTGTGAAACCACAACCCTGATGACAAACACAAACGTGCATAACCACTTTGGAAATATGTATACATATTTTTTATCATGAAAATATATGCAACGAACAAGTACAACTCGTAACATTAGCGTACTCTCATCTCGTGAAAGATTTTGCGTCTCCCAGTTGAATGTTATCTGTTGGACTTATTCCTGAATTGTAAAGGAGAGTCTGAGCTAATTTTATTGGAAGTCAGCGATTTAATAGAAAAAAAAGATTAAAATATAATTTCAGTATCTATTAAGATTATTAATGAGCGTTTTACTGTTGGCTGTAGCCTTGCTATCTTTATGCTTTTGGCTGGACGGAAGCAGTCATCGTAAAAATAATCTATTTTGTAT